GTATTTGACGCCCATTTATGAATAAACTGAATGAATAAACAATAAAATTGAGGTTGTATACCAATTTTTACACTGCGAACTAAGCACCTGATTTTTCCTAATGAGCCCCAGTATCGTGCACTAAGTAACTCACCTCTTGAATCTCCAAAGCCTGTCCACTAACAATTGGGCCCAAGTTGGGAGTATGATTGAATACTCCTCACTTTACTGGAGAAGCGCAGCTCCAACAACATTCAAGAAGATTGACATCATTCAAGTTAAAACAGCCCACTTGATTTGCACCACATCCTCAAAAATACACTCCCTCCATCATTGTCGTTTAGTGGTAACACTGTGTACCTTCTACAAGATGTATTGCAGCAAAATTCACCACAGTTCCTTAGTGAGCAGCTTCCAAGCCCATTTTTATAGTAAAAAATAGATGTGAACACCATTGTCTGCAAGTTTCCTGCCAAGTCACTCACCATCCTGACTTAGAAAAATATCACAGTTGTTTCGATGTTTCTGGGATAGAATCCTGGAACTGCCTCCCTAATGGCATCATGGACCAAATGAACCAAACACTGTTTCAAGGAGGCAGCTCACCACTATCTTCCCAAGGGAAATTAGAGATGGGCAATAAATGCTGGCTCAGCCAGCGATGTCCACATCCCATGAGTGAATGAAGAACAAATTTTTAAACAGTTGAAGCCAGGTGGTCTAACGGTTTTGTTCCTTTGTTTTGAGATGTTCCACTCTCATGACTAGTCTCACAGGTTGAGAAGACCTAGCCCTGGCAAACAAGGCACTGCTCATTGTGAGATGCTGTTGTATGTAGCAGATTGTGAGAATCTACAAATATTGCTTTCCTGGAGGGAGCCAAAAATGATTACAGTAATTGTGGTGACATTTACTGCCACGATACAACTGGATGGGCCATTTAAGAAGGCAGTTAAGGGTCAACCACATTGCTGTGGCTTTGGAGTCACATATTGGCCAGACCAGGTAAAGACAGTAGTTTCCTACCCTAAAGGACATTAGTGAACAGGATAGATTTTTATTACAATCAACAATGGCTTTATGGTCATTATTAGATTCTTAATTCCAGATTTTTATTTCATTTAAATTTCACCGTTTGTCATGGTAGAGTCTCCAGAACATTACCCGGGTCTGTAGATGACTAGTGACAATAACACTAGGGTATCACCTCCCCCACGATGATTTTTTTTTATTGTAGGAGCTGAACATTGATAGGGTGAAAACTCTTTTCATAAGGAAGATACCAGGATGACGTGGAGGTATCTTGATTGCTGTATGTTTGGAGCTGAAGACAGCGACAGAAGGAAGCTGAACATCCACTCTCATGACTAGTCTCACAGGTTGAGAAGACCTAGCCCTGGCAAACAAGGCACTACTCATTGTGAGATGCTGTTGTATGTAGCAGATTGTGAGAATCTACAAATATTGCTTTCCTGGAGGGAGCCAAAAATGATTACAGTAATTGTGGTGACATTTACTGCCATGAATAATGCAGGTCTTCTTGACAGGAGTTCTTCTTTCAGGAGTTACAATGCCAGAGATCACCGAAATGGAAGTCTGAGCTTCCTGCAGCACTGGTGCTTTGTCATGTTGTGGAAGCTAATCATTGCCTGTAAGCCCCGTGCATGAGGTACTGCCTCTTGCCAGCTGGTGCTCTGTGCTTCTCAGCCTTTGTTTATGGAGCTGCTGATGTTTAAGGGCAATGCGAAAGCTGTCCCTGCCCTTCCATTCTTGCTGGTGGCATTACTACTTCTCTTCATTTTGGTTCAAAAGAAGGCCAGGGAACAAAGGGTTTCATCTGGACAAGGAAACAGGTATGTGATCTTTATTTAAAACATTTCTTGCTTGTCACTTGTACAGCCTCTCAAATCCTACTGTCCTCATGCCTGATTTCCCTAGGAGTTCCACAAGGCCTTGTGCAGACATTTTTAACAGCCAGAAATCAAGATTAAAGAAGCTGTTAGCACGCATTCAACATATTAAAATTATCAACCTGCCTGTCCCCCAGGTGATTGGTGATTTCCATACACTGCAGAAAATGCTGAAATCGACAGGCCTACCTAACACATAGATATTTTCAACCTCTCTAATCTTCTTGTTCTCAAACCCTCCCACCTTGTCAGGTCAAAATACCCGCCAGTGTTTCAGGTTTATGAAATGTGAATATACAAATTAAGAGTAGGACTAGGCCATTTAGCCCCTTCTACCTTTGCCACTATCCAATGAGGCCATAAGCGATCTGATTGTGGCCTCACATTCCTATCTACCACAGATAACTATCGACTCCCTTGTTTGTCAAGATTCTTAAAAATTATTAAAATCTGTTTCCATTCTGTCTCATTCTGACTCCCCGACTCTTTTAGGTGCACCATTAAAGATAAGATAATACCAGGATCGCATTTGCAAAGTAATACCTGGATGTACCACCACTTAGCAATGGGATTAAACCACAATTATTATCAAACCACAACTTCCATTTTTATTAATGTCGGACAGAATCTCCAAACAACATGTAATCCACTTTTAGAGATTTATAGTGGAAGTGAAAATTATCTACAAAGTAGTTAGTCAATATGTCCACATTACAGACGTCACAAAACGCATAAAGGTGGATAAATCTCCGGACCTGTTGCTGAGATATCTGTATCATCGATAACCACAGGCAAGATGCCAGAAGACCGGAGGTTGGCTTACGTTGTGCCACTATTTAAGAAAGGTGGTAAGGAAAAGCCAGGGAACTATAGATCATTGAGCCTGACATCGCTGGTGGGCAAGTTGTTGGAGGGAATCCTGAGGGACTGGATTTACATGCATTTGGAAAGGCAAGGACTGATTGGGGATAGTCAACTTGGCTTTGTGCATGGGAAATCATGTCTCACTAACTTGATTGAGTTTTTTGAAGAAGAAACAGAAATAATTGATGAGGGTAGAGCAGTGGATGTCATCTGTATGAACTTCAGTAAGGCATTCGACAAGGTTCCTCATGGTAGACTGGTTAGTAAGGTTGGATCACATGGAATAGACAGAAAACCAGCTTTTGCAAACAGAAATGGCTTGAAGGTATAAGACAGAGGATGGTGGTGGAGGGTTGCTTTTCAGACTGGAGGCCTGTGACCAGCGGTGTGCCACAGGGATCGGTGCTGGGTCCACTGCTTTTCATCATTTATATAAATGATTTGGATGTGAACATAGGAGGAATGGTTAGTAAGTTGGCAGATGACACCAAAATTTGAGGTGTAGTGGACAGTGAAGAATGTTACCTCAGAGTACAACAGGATTTTGATCAGATGTGCCAATGAGTCAAGGAGTGGCAGATGGAGTTTAATTTAGTTAACTGTGAGGTACTGCATTTTGCAAAGGCAAATTAGAGCAGGACTTGTACACTTAGCGGCAAGGTCCTGGGGAATGTTGCTAAACAAAGAGACCTGGGAGTCAGGTTCATAGTTCCTTGAAGGTGGAGTTGCAGGTAGATAGGATAGTGAAGGCAGCGTTTGGTATGCTTGCCTTTTTTGGTCAGTGCATTGAGTAAAGGAGTTGGAAGGTCATGTTGCAGCTGAGAGGACATTGGTTGGGCCACTATTGGAATACTGTGTGCAATTCTGGTCTCCCTGTTATATGAAGGATGTTGTGAGACTTGAAAGGGTTCAGAAAAGATTTACAAGGGTGTTGCCATTGGAGGATTTGAGCTGTAGGGAGAGGCTGAATAGACTGGGGCTATTTTCCTTAGAGCATCAAAGGCTGAGGAGTGACATTATAGAGGTTTATAAGATCATAAGGAACATGTATAGGGTAAATATACAAGGATTTTTTCCCTGGGGTGGGGAAATCCAAAACTAAAGGGCATAGGTTTAAGGTGAGAGGGGAAAGATTTAAAAGGGACCCAAAGGGCAACTTTTTCACACAGAGGGTGGTGCGTGTATGGAATGAAAGTGGTGGAGTCTGGTACGATTATAACATTTAGAAGGCATCTGGATGGGTATATGAATAGGAAGGGTTTAGAGGGATATGGGCTAAATGCTGGAAAATGGGACTAGATTTATTTAGGATATCTGGTCGGCATGGACAAGTTAGACGAAAGGGTCTGTTTCTGTGCTGTTTATCTTTATGACTCAATGACTAAGTTAAATTTTAATGCAACTTTTTCATAATGAAAAGGGCTAGAGAGCAAGAACAGCAAAGTAAAGCAGGCTGTGGGACTCGTTCATCTTTCAGTTGTGCATTTTTCTATTTATACAAAATAGCAAAGGTCCTAAACACAAGAGGATTAAGTTTAGTCAACAAGAATGCAACAACAATTGTTGGAAATGCTGAGATTCACAATAGGAGAAAATAAAAGCCACCTTCCTAATAGTATGTATTGAATGGAGAACAGTCTAGTAACTTGAACAAGGCTTGAAAAGGAATTAACAACATTTACAAATATCGCAATACTACATACAGTAGAGGGCTTTGCAAATAATTAATGAACATTATAAAGCCAATTCGATTTTCTTAAACAAAACAAAGAACTGTAGAGATAGTAGGAACTGCAGATGCTGGAGAATCTGAGATAACAAGGTGTAGAGCTGGATGAACACAGCAGGCCAAGCAGTATCAGAGGAGCAGGAAGGCTGACCTTTCGGGCCTAGACCCTTCTTCAGAAAAGTGTCTGAAGAAAATTTTCTGAAGAAGGGTCTAGGCCCGAAACGTCAGCCTTCCTGCTCCTCTGATGCTGCTTGGCCTGCTGTGTTCATCCAGCTCTACACCTTGTTATCAAAGAACTGCAGATGCTGGAGATCTGAAATTGATTTACTCAAACCTCAATTTTTAAATCAATTTTGGTTATAAGAAACACATCAAAAGAACAATATTCTCAATATTTGTGAAGCCTACGAAGCGGTAACATAATTGGATTCCCCAATCAATTATTATAATCCAAAGAGCTCGAATATATCAGAAGTAGAACAGATGTTTAGATCAACTTATAAAGATGCTGATTGTTATTATATTCTCACATTACCATTGTTCTGTACAATGAAGTCACGGACCTCCTTAGACCGAGAGAGATTTCCAAAGACCCGGGCAGCTTCCAATATTGCATCCATATTGTTACACAATAAAAGCTTCATCAACACTACAGAACAATAAAGAAAGATGTGTTATTGAAAAAAATTAAGTTTCAATCTTTATATTGAAGAATATAGCTCCCCAATTATACTTTTAAGTTGGCCATCTCTTATAAATAACCTTAAATATTAGTGGTGTCAATTAAATTCATATGCACTTTGATATTTAGAAAGCTGATCATTTAATTTACTTTCAACCTCTGTTTTAACATTCTTGAATCAATTATTTCAATATATGTCACGGTCTTACTGCTTAGGAAATATTGGTGGGGAGGGCAGTAGGAGTAGAATTTATGAACTTAGCCCCCACCAAAAGTGTGGAACATTCGGGGATTAGGAACCTGATTTACTGATTGGCAAACTTAGCTACAGTCTCTATAATCATAACTAATGTACAATGTACACAAGTTAACTTTGTAACATGGACTAACAAAAACAAACAAATTACAAATGCAGTCTTAAGAATAAACTTAACTTTTTGTCTCCACTATCCCTAAAAAATTGCTAAGGGTGGATTTGGAAGGCACAGCAAACTAAATTTTTACGTACATAATAATTTAGCTCAGGCTGAAGCATTAAGCTGCCCCATTAGAATTTATAGCAAAAGTATTGTTTATGAACTTAAGGAGAACATAGTCACATGGATAACAGTTTATGTAAAGTGCAGAAAGCAAAAAGTTACACAGTGGTCACAAAGAGGGCAGAAAACAATGATTTTCAATAGATAGAAATCTTTCAGATTAAAGCTGTGAGCCATAGTGTTTTGTGTTGGATTCCCTGTTCTTTACCATAAAGATCAGTTAACTAGAAAATGGAAAATCAATTTCAATTATTATTTTTATGTAAAAAATTCTTCTTTTAACACTTATTTCCCAAAAGATCAATTGGAAGTGGGGGCTTTTTAGCATCAGCTAATTTTTTCCATGAATGACTGCTAGATGTTGAGAATAACACAGAATTCTTGAACTCTATATTTCTCTCCTTTATTGAACAACATCTTAGTATTTATCATTCAATATTGATCTTAGGTCAAAAAACTGAATGTACAAAAATCACTAAAGTAAGTTACTTTTGAATATGAATTAGCTGGACATCCGATTATTTACAATCTGATATGCAATTTAATCAAAGTCATTTGTGACTGTAACCCTTGAGTTGTGTTTAGATCGTAGCTGTTTTTATGCTGACCATCTACAGTTGGCTAGTCACAGAAAGATCCAAAATATGTCTTTGGCATATATCAACACAATCCTCACACAATAAATTTTTAAAGATCAAGAAAAGTTGATGAAATTCTAAACATGCCATAACAAATACAAATATACAAACAAGGAGGAGTGGGCCTTTCAGCCTCCCAAATCTGCTCTGGAATTCAATAAAATCTGATCTGATTGTAACCTTAACTCCGCTTTTCCACATATTTTGATAATGTTTCACCTCTTGCTTAACAAGAATCTGTCTACCCTCTATCTTAAAATATTCAAAGATTCTACTTCTACCACCAATAGCTGCACATTTTTGAAGAAATCTGTAAATTAACAGCATTAAAATATTTGTGAGATGTTTGGAGTAATATTAGCTGAGGAAATGATAATAAGTGTACATTCAGCTATGTGCAGCTGCCTGGCCCTGACAGCTGAGTTCTTCACTTGATAGTAGGACAGGTTGTTGATGGTTGTTGCAGCATTCATCATCAGCTCTTCACACTTCTCAATTGTTTTGCATTCTAATTTTAAAAAATCAAAAATGGATCAACACATTAATGAAAAATAACTCACTCAACTGACTTAAGATCTTCACTGTGAATGCTTCACTTGTTTTCGAAAGACAGAGAATAACAGTTGTAAAAGACTTCGACTCATTTAGAAAGATGTCTTTCACATATACGATAATGGCAGAAAAACAGTACTTTAACACATTTGTGTCTAATCCCTGAATAATCAGTACAAATCCATTTAAAGCAAAGATAGGAGTTACGACTAAAATAACTCCACAGAGGCCAGTATGCTGCCACCAAGTCACCCTTTATTTACACTTGGAGAGTCCTTGACATTGATCCAGTGCCCTCACAGCCAGCTCTCAGGGTGAACAGGATGTCTGACACTCCTGTTTATATATATCAGGCAGGGCTCCCTGATTGGACCAGATTAACATCTGGATTAGTAAACTCACGGATGACATGAAGGTGGGCGGAGGGCTGTTCTAGGTTACAAAGGGATATTGATAGGATGCAGAGCTGGGCTGAGAAGTGGTAGATGGAGTTTAACCCTGAAAAGCGTGAGGTGACACATTTTGGAAGGAAAAACTTGAAAGCAGAATACAGGGTTAACGGAGAGATTCTTGGCAGTGTGGAGGAGCAGAGGGATCTTGGGGTTCATGTCCACAGTTCCCTGAAAGCTGCCACCCAGGTGGATAGAGTTGTTAAGAAGGCGTATGGTGTGTTAGCTTTCATTAATAAAGGGATTGAGTTCAAGAGCTGTGAAGTTATGCTCCAGCTGTACAAAACCCTGGTTTGGCCAAATCTGGAGTATTGTGTCCAGTTCTGGTCGCCTCATTACAGGAGAGATGTGGAAGCGTTGGAAAAGGTGCAGAGGAGATTTATCAGGATGTTGCCTGGAATGGAGGGAAGGTCTTACGAGGAAAGGTTGAGAGAGCTTGGGCTTTTCTCTTTAGAACGTCGAAGGATGAGAGGTGACTTGATAGAGGTGTTCAAAATGATCAGAGATATAGATAGAGTAGACAGCTAGAGACTTTTTCCTAGGGTGGAGTTAGCTATTACGAGGGGGCATAGTTTTAAAATGAGTGGAGGTAGATATAGGGGAGACGTCAGAGGTAGGTTCTTTACTCAGAGAGTGGTCGGGGCGTGGAATGCGTTGCCGGAGAGGGTAGTGGAGTCAGCCTCATTAGGAGCATTTAAGCGGCTATTAGATAGGCATATGGATGATAGTATAAGGTAGGGGTGGAGGTTAGATAAACCTTAGGATTAGGGTAAATGTTCGGCACAACATTGTGGGCTGAAGGGCCTGTACTGTGCTGTACTGTTCTATGTTCTCTGTTCTTTGTTCTATCCCCAAACAGGGAACTCATATTCTATGATGTCCACCCAGCTGGCCTCATTACAATTATTATAGCTACACCTGTATTAATATGGCATTACTAATGAATGTTGGAAAGAATTTGCCTTTGTACAGTGTGTTTTGCATCCTCAGAATATCCTCAAAATACCTCAGACAATTAACTATTAGGATTCTGTCTTTGTTGTTTTATAGACACGTGAGTCAGTCAAATCATGCAAGGTCCCATAAACAATAAATTAATAAGTGACCAGCTAGTTTGTTTTAATAGTCATAAAGTAAGTGAATGCTGAGGGAAATGTATTAAACTGTAAGCCTATTTCAGTAGTGGGCTTTAACCAAATAACCTTCTGATTGAAAGGGCTTTCTCACTGTCAAGCTGACAGAGAGAGTAAAAGCAAGCATTGTGAACTGATTAAACCTGGTCATCACTTAATTCTTGTTTCACAGAAATTAATCTTTATAGATGACACAACTCCACCTTAGTAAAGTAAAATTGTATTCTGCATTACACACCTTGGCATATTGCTTATAAAACCATGTATGGTCTGATTTAACATGGTAATGCTTTAGGAGATCCAATAGTTTTGTTTAAAGGTGAGGTGAATTATAACCTTTAAATTTAGTTTTATTCAGGATGATTGTCTAAGTGTAATTAAAACATTTTATTCTGGTATCATACAACTCAGTTTTTACTCAATCGTCAATGTTGTCACATTGTAACTCCAGATTTCAAAGCACTTATTTTTGCATTAGTCATTGTAACTTCATCAATATAAGGGCACTCTGATATAAATGTCATGATTCACCAAATTAATTGAATAGCATTTGAAACTGCATTCAGCTACTAATGAAGTGAAACATTTTTTAAACTTGCATGAGATATTACAACAATGCTAGACTAACCTAGTACTTTAATAAGCAGATCCACACAATTCTGGTTTCCAGAGAATGCAGAGCCAACTTCCGTGTTTATGGATAAATTAGCAATCACTCTTATCAGCTTTACTAGGATATCTTCCACCTCAGAGAGTTTCTGGTTCTTGGTTCCATCTATTTCACTCTTGTTCTGTGTCTTTGTTGGGGTGATTTTTACTTTAACATCTAGTTTATGGTATGTTTGAAATAGAGTCAGTAAAGTCTCGACACTGTACTTCTGTTTGTAAAGTTCTTCTCTTGCTTTATTGTTCTTTGCAGTCATGTTTCCCAAAATAAAAACCACACGGACCACTAAATCCTAGAGGAACAAAAGCAGTACATAACTTTTACTCTAAAATACAAACAGCTCAACTTTAAAAACAGGCGTAATCTGTTTTCATACAACAGGTAGCAAGGGTAGCCTATTCAATTTTCACTTTAAGGTGGTGATTGTGCATGGATGATCAGGGCAGAGGCAGCACATTTTGATCATCACCAATATGCTGAAATACACGATGTCTTCATTATGCATTAATTTTATTAAGAATAAGCTTTATATTCTCGATTTATAAACAGAATTTCTCATAATTGAATTCTGCCAAGTGTAGGGAAGAAAAGCAAAATGAGAGAGAGGGGCAGAGAGGGAGAGGGAGAGAAAGGGAGCAATCAAAGGAGAAAAATAATGAAAAGACACACAAGGAAAGAGAGATGCAGATGACTGACAGCACTGCATCCATGACAAAGAGAGATACAAAGAGAGAGAAAGTCAATATGGCAGAAAAGGCAACAAGTTGCATTTATATAATGTCCTCAGGATGCCCCAAAACTCTTCACTGAATATAGTTAAGAAAATGATTTTCTTTTTAGATTTCAAAAGGCATCAAGAGGTCTGGGGAGAAAATGAGAATATGGCATTGAGATAGAGGATTAGCCATGAGCACATTGAATGATGGAACAGGCTTGAAGGGTCAAATGGCTACTCCTGTTCCTAGATTCTCTGATTCACAGTCAATCAATCACAATGAATTTACAATTTCAGCAATTAAGTTGTAAACAAATGTGGCAGATAATTTGTGTACAGCAAGAGGGTCCAAACAGTAAATTAGATGGACAACTAGTTAATCTGTTTTTGTTGGTCTTGGTTATACAGGAGAAACGTTGGATAAGGCACATGGCCAGAACCTCCTGTTCCTCTTTAAAAATTTGCATCTCTAATATCCACCTGAATAGATAGCTTAAATCTATTTTAATATCTCAACCAGAAGATGACATTGTAGCAACTTGTATATTATTCTTGATGGTGAAGTTGTGATTCAGAGGGACAACCAAACATTAAAAACCAGTAGGTCTGGCAGCATCTGTGAAGGAAAAAACAGAGTTAACGTTTTGGGTCCGGTAACCCTTCCTCAGAACTGATGGTGGCTGGGAAAATGTCAGTTTATATGCAGAAAATAGGGAGGTCGGTGGGGTAGGGAGTAAATGAAAGGATAGGGTCCAAAGAGACAGAAAGACAGTTGGACAGACAAAGGAGATAGTAGGAACTGCCGATGCTGGAGTCTGAGATAACAAGGTGTAGAGCTGGATGAACACAGCAGACCAGGCAGCATCAAAGGAGCAGGAAAGCTGACGTTTCAGGTCTGGACCCTTCTTCAGAAATGGACAAAGGAGTTGCTAATGATCAGGTTGGGAGGGTGAATAGTTGTTAATGGGGACTGTTAGTGACTAACAACAGGGGATGTGTAATGGCAGGCTATGTGGTAGCAAGGCCTGGTGTGTGGGGTAGGGGGCTGGGACTTGGGAGAGTTTAGGCCCTAAAATTATTGAACTCAATATTGAGTCTGGAGGGCCGTAGAGTCCCCAAGCGGAAAATGAGGTGTTGTTCCTCTAGCTCGCGTTGTGCTTCGCTGGAACATTGCAGCAAATCAGAGACAGAGATGTTGGTCAGGGATCAGGGTGGTGCATTAAAGTGGCAGGCAACAGGTAGTTCAGGGTCTTTTTTGTGAGCAGAATGTAGATGTTCTGCAAAGCGGTCACCAAGTCTACGCTTCGTTTCCCCCAATGTAAAGGAGACATTGTGGGCAGCGAGTGCAGTAAACTAGATTCTGGGAAGTACAGGTGAAGTGTTGTTTCACCTGGACGGTATGTTTGTGCCCTTGGATACTGGGGAGGGAGGAGGTAAATGCGCAGGTGTTGCACCTTCGCCGGTTACAGGAGAAAGTGCCGTAGGGCTGTGGGGAGGTGTTAGAGGTGAAGGAAGTGTGGACCACGGTGTCCCAGAGGTAACGGTCCCTGTGGAAGGAGGACAAAGGACGGGAGAGGAATATGTGTCTGGTAGTGGCATTTCGCTGGAGGTGGCGGAAATGGCGTCTGATGATCTTCTGGACATGGATGCTGGTGGGATGGTAGGTGAGGATAAGGGGAACCCTATCGCTGCTGCGGGAGGGAAGAGAAGGGGTGAGGGCAGAAGTGCAGGAGATGGGTCCGACCTGGTTGAGGGCCCTGTCGACAACGGAGCTGGAATTCCTTAGTTGAGGAAGAAGGTGGACATTTTGGAGGCTCCCTTATCAAAGTTGGCCTCATCTGAACATACGCGACGGAGACGGAGGAACTGAGAGAATGGGATGGAGTCTTTAAAGGAAGTGAGGTGTGAGGAGTATAGTCCAGGTAACTGTGGGAGTCAGTGGGTTTGCGGTGGATATTAGTGGCCAGTGTATCCCCAGAAATGTCCAGGAAGGGAAGGGAGGAGTCAGAGATAAACCAGGTGAAAGTGAGGGCAGGGTGGAAATTGGAGGCAAAATTGATGAAGTTTTCTAATTCCAGACGAGAGAGGAAAGCAGCACCGATGATATCATTGATGTATCGGAGAAAGAGTTGTGGGTGGGGGCCGGAATAGGACTGGAACAAGGAATGTTTCACGTACCCCATGACAGACATAACTACGGCCCATGCGTGTACCCACGGCAACCCCTCTTACCTGAAGAAAATGAGAGGCGTTGAAAGAGAAGTTGAGGGTGAGGACAAGCTCGGCCAAGTGGAGGAGGGTGGTGGTGGGTGGGGATGATTCTGGTCTTTGCTCCAGGATGAAGCGGAGAGCCCTAAGACCTTCCTGGTGGGGAATGGACATGTAAAGGGATTGCACGTCCATGGTAAAGAGGAGGTGGCTGGACCCGGTAAACTGGAAGTTTTGAAACTGGGGTAAGGCATCAGATGAATCATGGATGTATGTGGGTAGGGATTGGACTAGGGGTGAGAAGACTGAGTCAAGGTAGGAAGAGATGAGTTCTGTGGGGCACGAGCAGGCTGAAACAATGGGTCTGCCCGGACAGTCCTGATTGTGGATTTAT